ACATAAATTTTATGCAAAGGGACAGAATATATAGCTCCTCCAAATGCTTCCAATAAAACAGAGGAATTCAAGGAAGTGTTCTTTGAAAGGGGTAATATTCCTTCTCTTATCAGTGAGCAATATGCTCCAGTATCTCTAAAAGTTTTGACTTCAGTTGTTTCTGAGTTTTCCTGAAGGGAAATAAGACTCTTGCAATAATAAGGGGCCATACCTTTTTCTACTACTCTCGGGGACATGTTATTAGGGATATTAGAGATTTTCCCAATGGGTTGGGGTTTATGGGGGCAGTTGGGACGGATGTGACCTACTTTATTACAGAGGAAGTAGACGACAGGCTTGCCCTTTACTCCCTGTTGACGTTGCAACTGGTGTCGCTCTGGCTGGTGTCTCTCTGGATACTGTTGTCGAGATGCACCATGAGTAGTTTGTGTCTCAGCAGGTGGACCATAAGTTGAGAAGCGCGGTTCACCAGGTGACTTAGTTGGCTGACGTAGACATTCTCCCTCCGGCTGGCACTTCATTCTCCAAGGTTGATGATCTCTGCTCATGCCAGGCTGTTGAAAAGAGAGACGGGACCGCTCGGACAAGGAGCGGTTAGTTTCGAAGGTATCAGCCAACCTGGCTGCCTCCAATGCAGTGGTTAAGTCACGATCCTGCAGAAAGACTCGAACCTCTGGTCCCACAGACTCCAGCAGGTTATCAATCAGAATAAGCTGCACCAGCTCCTCAAAGGTAGAGACACCACTTGCTTTATACCAGCTGGTAAAAGCTTTGGTTTCCTGTCTCACAAAATCCACCAGGGATTGACCAGGCTGCCGCCTGCTTAGTTTGAAAAGCTTTTTATATTTGGCTGGGATACATGTATATGCTCCCAACACTGTGGTCTTCACTACTTGATCATCAGAAAATTCAGCGTCATTTAATGCTGATGTAAATTCCTGTGCCTTACTAAACAATGCTGTATGAACCAACGATGCCCAATGCTGTTCCGGCCACCTCAAGGCTCGAGCCTGATTTTTGAAACTTTCAAAAAAATTTTCTGGTTCGGCCTCATTGAAGCGGGGAACCAACTGTACTGCTTTCTGTAAACTAAAATCATTTACAGAATGCGAAAACTGCCTCCTTTCTCTTTCCCAATCAAATTTTCTCTTGCGAATGCTCTCTGTTCCATAGTTTGCTCAAGATTGATTTTTGCCAGCTCAAGTGCCAACGCTGCTGATTCACTTCGAGACAACCCTGCTGCACTAGACTGACCATTTTGCTCCGTTGGTGTATCATCTTCCTCCTGCGAGAACATAGTAGTTTTTGCCCTAGCTCCCGTAGAGAGAGGAGTCTGATGTGCCATCTCTTCTTCTCGAAGTTTGTCAGCAATCAGTGAACACAGTTGCGCAGCTGTGAGCGTGTGTTTATATTTAATGCCAATGGAACGAGCAATTTGCCAACAACGCTGTAGGGACAATTTAGGTAGGTTATGCAAAGTATATGCCGACACCAGACGTCTGACTTGTCTAGGTGGCATAAGTTATTCGCTATGCACAGTACGATTGCAGAATAGCCCAACGTAATGTTATTTGCAGAACACGCTTAGCTATGCACAGTACGATTGCAGAATACCCCAATGTAACACGTTAATTTGTGGAACACGCTCAGCTATGCACAGTACGATTGCAGAATACGCATACAAGGTGGATACGCAATAGCAAAGTTGACTGCAACTGACACGCAAAATTTGTAAAGCAATGCCAGACAGCAAGCTACACACTGTTCTACAAGATTGACCATAGCGAAGCGAGCACACCGAACAAGCTAATAGCGAGCTGTTGAACGATCACACAATAGCAAGGCTGACCATAACAAAGCAACTGACACGCAAAATTTGTAAAGCGTTGGCAAAGCTAATGCAATGCCAGACAGCAAGCTGCACAATGTTCCTGCTACGAGCTTCACCCTAAGCTCAACCGTTTCTCTAAGTCCAGCTCCAGCTCTCGGACAGGCTACCCATATTACAACCCAGGAGTCCAAATGGCCTGTTATCTTGGGTGTAAAGGGAGCAAAATAAACACAGCAGAAAAGTTTTGATTTATATTATCCTTCACCAATTTAGAACAGCAATATGTACACTATATACAGTGATAGCTATTAGTGCACTCCACGGTAAGCAAGGCAGAAATAGAAGCCACAAGATAGCAGACCGTGCTTCAACCAGCTCTAGAATGGGAATGACAAGGGCAGACAGGAGAGTGGTACCCACATAACCTCTGCGATTGCCAAAACCATCTTCTTATTGGCCGGAACCTGGTCACTAGTTGAACGATGGGGCCCCATCATCAACTCTCAGTAACCTGGTTCGCTGGTTGGGGGAGATAGCCTGTAAATGAGGGTGTGTACATGCGCCGAATAAAGGTTACGTACTCTTTGCATGCCACAAGCATTAAAATCTCCAACCACAAGTACTCTCACACTTGGTTCAAAACTCCCCACGCATTCACTCAACATTTCCCAAAATCTCTCTCTCTCCTCCCCAGGTGCATATACGCTTACTATAACCCACTTCTCACATCCAATCTTTATTTTACTCCACATAATCCTTGAATTAATACATTTATAGTCCCTCTTTTCCTGCCATAGCTGATCCTTCAACATTATTGCTACTCCTTCTTTAGCTCTAACTCTATTTGAAACCCCTGACCTAATCCCATTTACTTCTCTCCACTGAAACTCACCCATCCCCTTCAGCTTTGTTTCACTTAAAGCCAGGACATCCAGCTTCTTCTCATTCATAACATCCACAATCATCTCTTTCTTATCATTCGCACAACATCCACGCACATTCAGACTTCCCACTTTGACAATTTTCTTCTTATTCCTTTTAGTAATTATTACAGGAAAAGGGTTACAAGCCCATTGTTCCCGGCATTTTAGTTGACTTTTACAACACGCATGGCTTACGGAGGAAAGATTCTTATTCCACTTCCCCATGGATATAAAATGAAAAGTAATAAGAACAAGAACTATTAAGATAAAATCAAAGAAAACTCAGATCTTTTTTTCAACACACCTGCCGTATCCCACCGAGGCGGGGTGGCCCAAAAGGAAAAACGAAAGTTTCTCCTTTTACATTTAGTAATATATACAGGAGAAGGGGTTACTAGCCCCTTGCTCCTGGCATTTTAGTCACCTCTTACAACACGCTTGGCTTACGGAGGAAGAATTCTGTTCCACTTCCCCATGGATATAAGAGGAAATAAACAAGAACAAGAACTAGAATGAAAATAAAGAAAACCCAGAGGGGTGTGTATATATGTGCTTGTACATATATGTGTAGTGTGACCTAAGTGTAAGTAGAAGTAGCAAGACGTACCTGAAATTATGCATGTTCACGAGACAGACAAAAGACACCAGCAATCCTACCATCATGTAAAACAATTACAGACTTTCGTTTTACACTCACTTGGCAGGACGGTAGTACCTCCTTGGGTGGTTGCTGTCTACCAACCTACTACCTATAGAATTATCAAAGCTTATTGCTTGGGTAGCATTGAAAATTGGGTTGGGCAAATACTCTGTTAGTGGGATGGATTGTGAAGGACCTGTCTAGCATGGGCCAACAGACCTGTTGCGGTGTTCCTTCTTTCTTACGTTTTTAAGTGAATGTGACTTGACCTGACTTAGAACATAAGAAAGAAGGAACACTGCAGTAGGCCTGCTGGCACATACTAGGCAGGTTTTTCACAATCCATCCCACTAACAGAATAGACGCTACCCAAACAATAAGAAGAACATAAGAATGGAGCAACAATGCAGAAGGCCTACTGGCCCATACAAGGCACATCCTTATCTAAACCACCACTACCCAAAGCTACTCAAGAATTCACTCCCGCACCCACGACACCAATCAGACTCAGCTCCTCCCACTCATGGATTTGTACAATCTCTCTTTAAAGCTACCCAAGGTTCTAGCCATGATCATAATAAGCTTTGATAATTCTATTTACTCACGTGCAAGTCCCACTCAAATCCAACTTCTCTCACTCATGTATTTATCCAACCTAAATTTGCAACTACCCAAGGTGGAAGAATTGGACCTGCCTCACATGGGCCAGTAGGCCTGCTGCAGTGTTCCTTCTTTCTTTTGAGTGGAGCGTCAGTCATCTCTACATAACTCCACCTGTTGTGCATTCCTTGAGTGATGGTGAAATTGCTGAAATATTGTTAAATACAAATAAGCATGTGATAAATGGTTTAGAAACTGACAGCTTGAAGAATTGAGACACTTATGCAACATATGGGAATCTTTATTGAAGAAACGTTTTGCCAAACAGTGACTTCATCAGTCCAATACAAAGCAGGAAGGCATAAAGAGAGGAGCTTGAGGTAATCAGTCCCTCAGCCTGGAATCGATGTGTTCAGTCCTCACTCACAAGAGTATTTGTCATACGAAAAAAAAAAATCTGGTGTTCTATGACTATCCTGCAAAATCCGCATCCGCATCCGGGAGGATGTCAAGATGTGACATCCACAATCTGAATTGTACTGTAAGCAGATATCCGCATTTGCATCCGCAAAATAAGTAAGACATCCGAATACACATCCGCATCCGCAGATATCTATATTTTCACATCTAATACGTACATCCCTAGTGCACACTGAGTGTTAAGACCCATTCTATGCTGACCAGGCATCTCAGGCCAATCGTGCCAAATTTGGAGGCAGGAAAAATAAAACGTATATATATACGTTTGGGGTGCTACCGGTCCAAATGTATATGTTTGGACCATTTACGGGTTAAAGATCCAATATTTTCAGTTACTCAATAAACTTCATTCATGTGGGGACAGATAAGATGTCAGGCAGAAATACGAAATGAAATTGCCAATAAAATTAATTCACTCCTCTAGGCAGAAAAAGCAATCATAATCCAAGTGCTAAACCCAATCATAGCATCAAAATACTTTCATTTCACAAAAAAAGTACAATACTGTAGAGTTAAATAAATGAAGTTAGTGTTCTCAAGTTTTATTGACTTTCAACTGTTAAAAAAAATTACCACAGGGTGCATGTTCAAACCCACTGCAAGAATGAAGCCACTACAAAAATTTTTTTCACAATATAAACTCCTCAAATGAAAAGGAATTATATCGGCAAGTTATGTACACACTTCTTTCACAATTCTATATTCCAAATACAGTAGTTATCAACTAGCAAATAAATATAATACACTATACCACCACAATTATTCTAGAATACAGATGCTGCAGCTTCAACTCTCAAACATGAAAAGTAGATCTTTAAATTTCCTATTAACATTAAACTGAGGCTACTATAGAAGTGTTAACAATTCATTCTTTACTATAAATCCCTGAGCTTTGCTGATTTTTTAATTATGACAAAACTGTCTTATTTTGCCTTGATACAATTTTTTTCTAGTCTATGCAAAATTATTCAATCGCTAACTTAGCAACAGTGGTAAGCAGCTCATATAATGCAAAAAAAAATCTTTTAATAAAAACAAAACCAAAGATTTATAGGCACTCAAATAACGATAAATAATATGTACTCCTTGGAGAATATTCAGGTTGTAACAAATTTCTTATTTCAACATCTAGTATTATTATTAATTTTTTTTTTTAACACACCAGCTGTCTACCACCAAGAATATAGACCGTCACCATCACTCACTCCATGTTTTTCTTCTTCTTCGGGTCACCTTACCTCGCTGGGAGATGGCCAGAGTGTTAAAAAAATACTTAACGCAAGAAAATACTAATGCTTTAACTGCACCAAAGAAAATAACTTTAAATCAAGTTAACCCATTTTATTTATTTTTTTTTTTTGAAGGGCTGACATACCAAGTGCTGAAACTGTGTAATACCCCACTGTTCAGGAGTTAACACAAATCAGTATTATTTTTCAAAATTTATCAGTGGCACTGTATGCCATTCTTGAGTGTATACATTACACTGCAGGTTTCACATATTAATGTCTTTCTTTCTATCAACAAAAAGCAAGATATTTGTGAAGTAATTTTAAACAAGACATAAAATCCTCAAACACTTCTGCTTCATAAACAAGCAAGCCTCGCATAACTGTGGGTCAGTTGCAAAGACGGCGATTTTCAAAGGATTAGAAACACATTAAAAAAAGTAATGGTTCCAAGTGAAAAATATTCAGGCCAAAAACATACATATGATGAAACATTTTATCTTACACAACAGATACTACTACCCTGTATAATACTGTAATACACACAATACTCACTAAATAGAGGCCAGAATGATGACTGCAAGAGTTACTGGAAAATTTAGTAGCATTCTTTAAATTTCTGAGATGAGATAACCAAGTTAAAAATTCTGTATATATATGGGGGAGTGGTATAATACACTGCCTCAAAGTTCTAATTGGACACTTCTAATGGAGCTACTTACACCAAGGCTTGCTTGTACAACATATTGTTTAACTAACAAAAATTAATGAGATTAAAAGCAACGTTCAAAGACTCTTCCGAATTTCGGTACTTTTTTTTTTAAAAGAACACTATAGTCCACTAAGCATGTTCCAACTATAGTAGTTATGATGGATGATCAAGATGGTTGTCGACACTCATCACTCTTCTGGACTCTTAAATCCTTTTTTATCTCCTCTCAAGTACTTTATGTACATTAAATTCTGAATGTGAAAGACAATGAGATGAACATTTGTATAATGAAAGCACTTTGGCTCAAGCTATGTACTACCAGTGAAATATTATTAAGAGTTGTCATGTTCATGGTGAACTACAATGTTTGCTTATAATGACTCCACTTGTAAATGGACATTTTGCATATAATACTGTACACAAATCTTGAAAGCAACAGGTGATAATGTTTAGTAAAAAAAATTATTAAAAAATTCACACCAACAAGGACAAACTAATATTTTTGTTACTATTACCAATATTTTCCAGCTTCAGATTTGCTAATTTTTCGTTAAATGCATCACATTTGCATGCCATATTTGATTTCAACAAAAAATTTAAAATGACCAGACTTGAGTCCTGGAGGGATGGGGATATTTGGAGTTTGGAGGGGCATCTGAACTGTAGTACTGGCACAACTCTGACACGACAGTGATAAGAGTTAACGATGGTGAAAGTGTTTCCTTTTTGGGTCACCCTACCTTGGTGGGTGACAGCCGGTATGTTAAAAACAATTAATCTGTACAGAATAATTAATGTGAAAATTTTAATGCTGTCCTACCTTAAATGAGTAAGTTTTCTCTTGAATCACCATCAAAAGTAAGAATAATTCGTATGTAGATTTACGTACACAGAAAGAAGTAAGTTGTACTGAAAATGTCCTTTTATTTCATATTTATAAATCTTGGTTAACTATAAGAAGTACAAATGTGTTAATTTATTAACAAACATGTAATGACGGCAAAAATTCAATGTATGTATTTAGCTGCAATGCAGTCTTACCGGTAGTAACTGTCAGAATGGCACATAACTTCAACAGACAGTGGAAATAATACAATCATTCTATTACCTGATATTTACAATGTTCAATGCCAATGACACTGATTTCCTTTCAGCAAAATCTACCCAAAATAAATTTTCATAATAATGTAGTAAAAATCTGAGACCCACTGTGCCTTATTTGCCCACATTATGTAAGTTCAGGTGACATTCGGATTATGTGTGAATGCAATGACAACATTTATTCTGGCATTTCTAAACAAGTCAGTCAAATGCATGAGATATAAAGGAGTAAATTTACAATATTTGATAAAACAATATACCATATGATAAATTTATTTTTTGGAAACAATTTGAATAACATCTTCATCACTCATAATATGATGAATACCAACTCGCTGGGGATTGAATTTTGTACTCTTACCCTGGAAAATAAAAACAGTTATGAGTATTTTTTTTGTAGGAAAAGATTGAAATGCATTACAATAATGTAAGAACTACATGATTTTATTTTCAACATCTTTCAATAGCTTTTGGTAATTAGCTAACAATCTATACAAAAATTAAATTTATAACAAGGACCACAGACAGTCAGTCTTGCTTACCAAATCTCAAAACACTAATACAATAGACCGCTGATTAACATGTGATCCTCTAGCACATTTCCTCTATCACAGTGTTACAAAATCGAGGCATATTTTCAAAGAGCACTCTGTAAAATTCAACTAACACGGTACCGCCTCAGGGAGAAAAACCAGGGCTCGCATGCAACCTAACTGTGTGTCAGGCCATTGTCTTTGTGGGGGAGGCCTAGTAAGTGAGTAAGTTTGTTTAGGCACAAGTACACATAAGCACAATCATTATACATAGTGTAAATTACCTAGGATACCCCCCAAAAAAGTCAAACAAAGTGACTTTATTTTTCATTAGGGTCCTTGTAATATTATTTAAACCTTAAAAGTTAAAACAGCTAACTCAACTGTGTGAAAATTAATTACAATAAAAGATGTACTAGGAATAATGCAAAATGAGTTATTTACATTAACATTAGAGAGAGAGGATCAGTTTACAATAATAGGCACAGGAATGTTAGCTATACAAGAAATCACTCTCTTCCCTTTCTGTAGCTTCATTCAACAGGTACCATTTGGCTCTCTTCCTGAACTGGCTCATGCTAGCACAGGCTCTGATAGTGGTTCGTACACACATATCCCATACAATTCCCAAATCTGTGTTTATGAATCGATTTCTATCTTTTCATTGCCATATCTTGTATCTGCAAAGTAACTACGGCACCTAAGAGGCATGTGAGTGATGCTGGAAGTGACAAGAAAAAGTTTAAGCATCATGTCTTGATATTATGAAGAATATCGAGATATTAGATAAGCTTAAAAGTGGTGCACATGTGGTAGAGACAGCAAGAGCTTATGGACTTAATGGCGCATCAATTTATACAATTAACCCTTAATTGTGGGGCACCCTGGAAAAAAAATTCCTGTGTGAGTAGGAAGAGTTTGGAAAGAAAGAAAATCTTACGGTTCGACAGTTTAATTTTCCAAATCGAATAAGACTAAAATACATAGAATCTGATAAAAACTTATGATTTTATGATGTGTTAAAGTTGGTCAAAAAATGATCACTAATCAGCACCAGCGATGTTTACATTTTACAATTTATTGGCGCTAATATATGATTGTTTTTCTGTTTTGTAACTGCTTTTAATGTTTAATGCCTGGTGGTTAACGCTCTCGCTTCACACGGTGAGGGCCTGGGTTCGATTCCCAGCCAGAGTAGAAACATTGGACGTGTTTCTTTCCACCTGTTGTCTATGTTCCCCATCAGTAAAATGGGTACCTGGGTGTTAGTCGACTGGTGTGGGTCGCATCCTGGGACACTGACCTAAGGAGGCCTGGTCAAAGACCGGGCCGCGGGGGCGTTGACCCCCGGAACTCTCTCCAGATAAACTCCAGATACTAGTTTCTATAATATTAGATATGTTTCAAAGTGTTTTAGCAGTTCAAATATAGCTTCAATTGGAATAATCGGAATATACTTAAGAACATAAGAAAGAAGGAACACTGCAACAAGCCTACTGGCCCATGCAGAGCAGGTCCATGTCCCCCCCCACCCCCAGATTAGCCCAATGACCCACCCAGTCTGGTCAACTCCACTCAAGGAAGGAGCATGGCACCAGACCCAGCAGCACAAGCTAGTCAGGTCCAACTCACACCCACTCATGTATTTATCTAACCTATTTTTAAAACTACTCAATGTTTTAGCCTCAATAGCTGTACTCGGGAGTTTGTTCCACTCATCCACAACTCTATTACCAAATCAGTGCTTTCCCATATCCTTCCTGAATCTGAATTTTTCCAACTTGAAACCATTGCTGTGAGTCCTGTCTTGGCTGGAAATTTTCAGCACGCTATTTACTTTCTTTCTTTCAACACACCGGCCATATCCCACCAAGGCAGGGTGGCCCAAAAAGAAAAACGAAAGTTTCTCTTTTAAATTTAGTAATTTATATGGGAGAAGGGGTTACTAGCCCCTTGCTCCCGGCATTTTAGTCGCTTCTTACAACATGCATGGCTTACGGAGGAAGAATTCTGTTCCACTTCCAGAATGGAGATAAGAGGAAATAAACAAGAACAAGAACTAGAAAGAAAATAGAAGAATATCCAGAGGGGTGTGTATATATATGCTTGTACATGTATGTGTAGTGTGACCTAAGTGCAAGTAGAAGTAGCAAGACATACCTGAAATCTTGCATATTTATGAGACAGACAAAAGACACCAGCAATCCTACCATCATGTAAAACAATTACAGGTTTTCATTGTACACTCACTTGGCAGGACGGTAGTACCTCCCTGGGCGGCTGCTGTTTACCAACCTACTACCTACTACCCTTTATTTATTCCTGTTTTCCATTTATACACCTCGATTATATCCCCCCTAATTTTACGCTTTCAAGAGAGAGTGCAGATTCAGGGCCCTCAGTCTATCCTCATAGGGAGGATTTCTGTTACATGGGACCATCTTTGTCATCCTCCTCTGTATGTTTTCCAGGGCATTTATATCCATTCTGTAATACGGTGACCAAACCTGAGCAGCATAGTCTAAATGAGGCCTAACCAAGGATATATAGAGTTGAAGAACAACCTGAGGACTTCTATTATTTATACTTCTAGATATGAAGCCAAGAATTCTGTTAGCTTTATTGCAAACACTAATGCACTGTTGTCTTGGTTTTAGATTACTGCTAACCAGAACTCTTAAATCCTTTTCATAATCAGTAGTATTAAGATCTACATTACAGTGGAGCCCCGCATACCGGACGCATCGCATACCGTACAATCCGCATACCGGACGCTTTGATCGCAAAAATTTTGCCTCGCATACCGCCCAAAAACCCGCTCACCGCCCTTCGTCCGAGACGCGTCCAATGTGCGGCCTGAGCCACGCTCACATGTTCCGCCGGTGGCATTGTTTACCAGCCAGCCTCCGCGGTAACATCCAAGCATACAATCGGAACATTTCATATTATTACAGTGTTTTTGGTGATTTTTTCTGGAAAATAAGTGACCATGGGCCCCAAGAAAGCTTCTAGTGCCAACCCTACAGCAATAAGGGTGAGAATTACTATGGAGATGAAGAAAAAGATCATTGATAAGTATGAAAGTGGAGTGCGTGTCTCCGAGCTGGCCAGGTTGTATAATAAACCCCAATCAACCATCGCTACTATTGGTGGTACAGCTGCTGCTGTACCACCGTCAGCTGCTGCTGCACTGTCAGCTGCTGCTGCACTGTCAGCTGCTGCTGCTGTACCACCGTCAGCTGCTGCTGCTGCTGTAGCACCGTCTACTGCTGCTGTAGCATCGTCTGCTGCTGCTGTAGCATCGTCTGCTGCTGCTGTAGCATCGTCTGCTGCTGCTGTAGCATCGTCTGCTGCTGCTGTAGCATCGTCTGCTGCTGCTGTAGCATCGTCTGCTGCTGCTGTAGCATCGTCTGCTGCTGCTGTAGCATTGTCTGCTGCTGCTGTAGCATCGTCTGCTGCTGCTGTAGCATCGTCTGCTGCTGCTGTAGCATCGTCTGCTGCTGCTGTAGCATCGTCTGCTGCTGCTGTAGCATCGTCTGCTGCTGCTGTAGCATCGTCTGCTGCTGCTGTAGCATCGTCTGCTGCTGCTGTAGCATCGTCTGCTGCTGCTGTAGCATCGTCTGTTGCTGCTGTAGCATCGTCTGTTGCTGCTGTACCACCGTCAGCTGCTGCTGCTGCTGTAGCACCATTGTTGGTGTGGCTTATTGAGAATACCAAGAAACAATTAACCCCAGAGGATTTGCCACCCAGGATAACCCAAAAAAGTCAGTGTCATCGAAGACTGTCTAACTTATTTCCATTGGGGTCCTTAACCCTTTGACTGTCGCAACCCCCAATCCTGAGGTGTCTCCTGGTGTCGCAAAATTTAAAAAAAAAAAAATATTTTTTCTTATGAAATGATAGAGAATCTTTTCCCGATTGTAATGACACCAAAAAAAACGAAATTTGATGGAAAACTGACGGAATTATGCTCTCGCGAAGTTAGCGACCTCGGCGCTGTTTACAAATCGGCGATTTCGCCCATTTTGAGCCCTATTTTCGGCTAATTCCATTGTTCCAGTCGCCCAAACTCATAGCTATTTCTTTAGAACTTCATTTTTTCTATCGATTGAGTACAAGAAACTGCCCATTTACTGATTTCAACTACCTAATAATGTGGTCAGAAATTTGCAATTTGGCCAATTTCACGAAAACTAAAAAATATGACAATTTCAAAATAAGGTCCAGAATGAACAATGCAGACATTCCAGGCTCTAAAATAACGTTTTCTTTGTTCATCAGTCAAGTCTCCAGGCCCCCTGATATTACTCTTGCTTTCTATTTTGAATTTTTATTCAAACAAAAAATATTAGACTTACTTTTATGCAGACCACTGCAATGCTGTAATAACTGTATAAATAACATCAACCCATTCATGACTGCATATTAGAATGGCTAGTTGGACATTTATTGGACAATGGCATCATTTGTTTACTTTTGAACATTGGCAAAAATCAAACATTTCCCCTACTTTGAGCTCCATTTCTAGGTTCTTTTTATAGTAAAATCAATCAAAAACACCTCTATTTCTGTAATATGTTTTCCATTCTATCAAATGAGAACCAAGAAAACGAGAATACAACCATAAATACTATACGAAAATAGACCACAAAGTCGGCATTTTAATTAAAAAAAACGGTCGGAGTTTTTTTTTTTCTCATTATGCACTGGGTGCTCCAGATTTTTTTTTATATGGTGCACACTGACCACACAGACCCATTCTCTCACATGTGGGTGTTACGCGCCCCTACTTCACTCCATTATATACAAAAATAAAAGGCCTGGTTAAA